AATGTGGACCGGTACTGGGTTGATTCGACGTCATCAAATATGTGAAATGTCCTGAGGACATTCAGTTTTTGTTATTACTTAGAAACTGTGGAGTACTCATTGCTTTTACAAATTTAGAGCACACTTAGAAAGTTCAGAGAATACATATTTACACTTATCTAGCATCCCAGAAGTCCAGAGGATACTTACTTACACTTATTTAACATCTTTATATTTTAATGCCGTTGGCATGTAGCCTGATGTAAAAACATTTTGCTAGGCAATATGAATGAGTGTGAAGTTTTAATTGTTATCAAACCTTATTAAGCACGCCATTTTGAATAAAAAAACAACAACTTAGAAATATATAGGGCCAACCACAAGAATAAACTCATTTAAAGTTAAGATTCAGTTTCACACAAATACAAAGATGCTAGCATATGAATCAACGTGCAACATATGTAATGAAGTTAAATACTTGGGAAATTTCATAAAAGTTGTGAGTTCTGTATGATGTATGCGCAAGCTAATATGCTGATGAGAAAATCTGGTATGCGTTCGTCCTCTGCAAAGATAGCTCTTCTTAAAAACTTTTGTACTCCACTGTACACTGCCCATCTGTAGGCAGTGCTGCTTCTTTTCAATACAAAATAAGCAGCATGCAGAAGTTATATGAGGCATTCATAGTATGAGGCTAATATTTAAGGTGGAGTATATTAACTATGTTTGTAAAAACTTATGTACAAATTAATGTGTATAATATCTGTGTCAAGCAATTATATAATGAATGAATGAATGAATGAGTACAGTCAGATTTACCTCAAGGTCGAGGAATGACTGGCATCATTTATTTGTGACTCAGTTGACAATATTATGTGCTGTGTTTATTTTATTTTTAGTTTTTAGTTTTATTGTTTGTCTTTTTACTGCAGACTTTTTATGTATCTGGACTCTGGATAAATGATATGGCAATGATGATGATGATGATGATGATGATGATGATGATGATGATGATGATGATGATGATGATGAATGTTTGGCTGTTGAACTGGACCTTTCAAAGTCACCATAAAACCAATTTTCAACGAGCAGCTCCACAAATATTTTTAATAAACATTATATTACAAAGAGAAATACAAACATACTTTTATCTTGGCTTTTTTCCCTCTTCTAACTCTTTCTTTTTTTCTTCCCCTGAAGAATAAGTCCATTTTTGCTACATTGTTTTGCTAACTGATCTTCCACGGTGCTTTGGAGGTTCTGACGTCGCTCTGCACGTTAAACTGCAGCTAATATTACCAATGAAGTGTTACCTAAAGACGCCACTAGGGGGACCTAAGAGAAATTTATTTTTTCTTCTTACCCATATGAAGAATTATTTCAACCTTCATCCATGAAATAACAAATAGTCAATAAATAAATGAATCACAACTTTATAATAAAGTGGTGTGTTTTTATTAACATAATAACATAAAAATAATTACTATAAAACGCATGGTCTTTTGGAACCAGCAGTATAGAAAAATGCAGCTCAAACAGCAAATAAATCAGTTCCCAACCACATTGTAAATATTACTGGTTTGCAAAGCAAATTTTATATGGGTTTTATGTTTACCAAGCGTTGAGGTACAACTATCATTATTTATTGTTTGGGAAAATTATTAAATATAAAACATTTGGTCTACTGAAAAGCTTCAAACTTGAAATCAATGGAATATTTTACTTTGAAACACTTAACATACTTAATCTAATACCAGAACAAAATGAAAAGATGACTCAAATTATGATTTTCTTTTCTTTTCAGTTTCAGAGACTTTCACAGTTTCAGTAAAGTCTCCTGTCTCAGTCCAGCGAGGCCATACAGCCATCTTACCCTGCTGGCTCACCTTCTCTGAGAGTGCAGAAGATATGGAGGTACTCTGGTATCAAGGGAGTGATCAATTTGGTACTCCAGTCCTGCTTTATAAGGCAAGAACTTTAGACTATTCATCCCAGAAAGCTTCATACGCTGGACGAGCCTCATTTGGCTTGAAGGAAGAAACATCAGGTGGATTAAAGGCAGGTGATGTCAGCCTGAAACTGGAAAACGTCACAATTGAAGATGCAGGAAAATATATATGCGTTGTCAGCAGCTTTGATGATTCTGACAGTGCATCTATTAGTCTGACTGTGACAGGTGAGAACCATGAAACAGAACGAGAACAAAACCAAACAGAATGATGTCCACATCAAATGATCTTCTTCTTCTTCTTCTTCTTCTTCCAGAAACTGGACACCAACCTCTCCTGTCAGCAGTGATGAAAGACGATAACAAAGTTAATCTGAGCTGCCAATCTGACGGCTGGCATCCAAAGCCTGAGCTGAGCTGGTCAGACAGCAAAACAGCTCTCATTCCTGGTAATGTGATGTTTAGCAAAAACTCTGCTGGTTTTTATTCAGTCCATAGTTGGGTTCTGGTCTCCAGTCCCTCTGAGGTCTCCTGCTCTGTTGGGCTCTTCAATGAAGAACCAAAGGAGACCAGAATGCGTCAGAAAAATTCATTAGAAGAAGGTTTGTGGTTTCACCCTCAAGTTTCTTTTATTAGTCTTTTATGAGTAGTATGTTTATTAGAACAATATTTGCTTTTTATTCAGAGTCGGGATCGTCCTCAGCTGGATGGGTGGCCTTTGGGATACTTTTGGTTGTATTAGTTGCTTTCGGAGCCTTGTACTTCCTGTACTTCAGGAAGAAAGGTAAATGTTTGATCCAAATCAGAGAGGATGTATAATTGAAATTTAAAGAATGCTGACATAGTAATGACTATTAATTTCAAACCTTATACTATATATGTTTTTATTTCAGCTAACAAGTCCAAATCAGGAAATGACACAACTGATGGTAAAGAAATCATGCAGACACAAAACGTCATTGGTTTTCCATTAAAGGGACAATCACGTAGTTTTATTTTGTTGTTTTCAGATTTAAGTACAAATGCAACAAAATGTACATGTTAAAACTGAGCAAAAACCTCATGGGATTATCACAACTGTTACATTTCTAAGGATGTTTAAATAAGACAGTAAGGACGTGTCAAATCCCTTGTAAAAGTGTTTTCACCCGTTGTAGTGACTTGTTGTTAATCAAAGAAAACAAAACGAACCCAAGAATCTGGGGCTCTGCTGACTGACAGGTGTTGATTCATTGGATCTTCTAGATCCAATGAATCAACACCTGTGGTTCTATGATTGTAGAGCATTTATTGATCTGGCGCTTTCCAACAAAATGCGACTTTTCAGCGTTGCACACTTCCAATGTTAACGTAGTACAGCCAAATGATTCACAAAATTGTCGCAAAGCAACGATCAACATCAGACAACAGTGAAAATGACGATGACGGTTCAAAACTGTTTCCGCTGCAAACATCACACCTGCAGAGAGTTTACCTGTCAGGCCATTTAAACATATAATGCCACCCACTGTCATTTTCAGGTATTACACCAAACAAACAAATAAACATAAACCCTAAAATTATGGCTTTAATACAAAACTTTCACAATTAATCACATCACAGAATCAAACTTCATTTTGTTTTCTGAGAGAATTTACATGACAGAATAAGGCATCAAGCAAATCATTGGAATGTGAACTAAAAATAACATGGTTTGCAAATGTCTTTATAAAAATAAATATTTGAAAATATTGATAAGATTTGAAGAGATTTATCTGTACCGACTCCCCTTTACGCTGCTGTTCCTAAATAAAAACTGTTACAACTACATTTAGAAGTTATCTAATTAGAACATAGATAAAAACAATGAAGGTTTGAAAATATTATGAAAAAAATATTGTAGATATAATCCATAAACCTTGTCATCATATTGTACAGAAAAATTAGCCACAAATGTGGTCTAAGTGGTTTCATTTAGGATTTTGAGACAAAAGCAGTTTACAGCAATAAGTCTGTTTTGATTTAAAATTTAATCTCTGGACCAAGTAAGAATTGAATTAACAAAAATAATTCAGACTTGTTTTATAAGTCACTGTGTAACATCCCCAAACAAAAACCAGTTATGACAATAAGTCATACTAGATTTACAATGGATGTATTGGTTGGAATTATTTACTAAAGTTTTACTTTTATCTTTCAGGGGCCAATCTCACAAACATTCCTGAAGGTAAAACAGAAGATATAATACATTTGTACTACTTTTTCTATTTCAGTCAATTCAGCATTTAAGGATCCTTATTGTTGTAGATTTGCTCCAGATGTTTGAAGACATGAGAGGAGTTCAATAGAAACATAAAGTTATTACATGTCTTTACAGTGATGTGTTCAGATTTTCAGTCAAATAATATCACAGCTTGTTAATGAACCTCAATCTGATAGAGATTATTTTAAAGCTCTTGTTGTGTTCAATGCATAAAACAACTAAAATATGTATTTCTGTGTCTTCCTTCAGAGAATGAACCACTTCTGTTAAAAGGTAGAACAGATTATTGGAAGCTGCCTGTGTTAATATAATCAAAACCTTTATCATACAAAATCACATTTCTAAGATATTTTCTTTTCTTACTTTTCTGTCCAGCAACATGGCACTCAGCAGCTCTATTGGAAGCATCCAAGCATTATGGTAATTTTACATTCATTTAATATTATTTTTATTTTGCATTTTACTTCATTATTTTTTTAATTAAAATATAATTTTCAATATTTAACAGAGAATATTCAACTGGTGGACACAGGAAATCCACTTATAAAAATCAGGGGTTTTCGATTGAAAGAGGCCAATGATGAGTTTCCAGATGGAGACAGAGTCACTTGTCTCACTGCAGTCAGAGGATCACCTGGTTTCTCTTCTGGACGACACTACTGGGAGGTTTGCTTAGCAAAT